TTGAATTGTGATCTTTTCCCAGGCTAAGGATATGTGTTCTAATCCTCTCTCGTGCTGGGTGGTGGCTCCTGGCCAGCCGCACGACCACGAGGTGAACAACACTACTCTTCCAGCCATTTCGTACCCACGCAACCATTATGCTTTTCCCTTTTAGTACAGTATTCAGTCAGTTGCATGAGATACTCAGCATTGTATTATAAAGCAGGCATTGTGTTAGATGGTGCTGCCCAGCTCCGCACTAAGGTAAGTCTCCTGAGCACGTGTAAGGTGGGCTAAGCTAAGCCATGATGCTCGCAGGTTAGGTGTATTCAATGAATTTTTGACTTAGAATATTTTCAATTTACAGTGTGATTTTCAATTTACAGTGTTTATTTGGATGTAATCCCATCATCAGTTGAGGAAGTTCTGTAGTTTCCATCTTCTTGTTCTTAGTCTAATCCACATAAACAACAGCTTGCTTTTTTTTTTGTTTTTACTGTAATTATGATCCTCCTGAGAGGCTCACTGCCACTTGATCCACATAACCACTTTGTGAGAGAGAACAGGTATTATAACCCTTTGCCAGGTGAAGCTTTATTCAGTGTGAAGGGATTGAACAACTAGCCACCTGGTGTGGGAGAGAGGCAGGGTAGAGACACCTCACTGATGGGGCCACTGTCACTACCTTGGGTTGGTGTTCTCGGCATTGCTGAGGCCCTTGACCATCTGGTCCACTAAATGAGCTGTAGCTGCACTTCAGTGTTCTTCTAGATCTTTCACACACTTTGTATAACAAAATATTAATGGAATTATGCAAGTCTGCTTGGAGAAATAGACCATAACAGACATGCCATATTGGAGGAAAAAAGCACACAGACTATTCAATCAGTTGTGAGGTGCACCGTAAGTTTATGGCCAGATAAGAAATTTAAAAACCCTGCCATGTAAACTACAATTTGTTGTTGATTGTAAGACATCCTGTTTCTGAAATCACTTGATTTGATGATGCTAGAATGTGAAGAAAAAAAGAAGTGCACCTTAGAATCATTAAAATAGTTACTTTCAGCCATCTCTTCTTTTTGGCTCCGTAAAGAATGTGATCCCTATTTTCCCAGGGCAGAGGAGCCCAGAGTTAAAATAAGGCTGCTGGGACTCCAAGGACCTGTATTTTGTGAGCCCTGTTCCCTCCCCTTGGTCATAATTTCTGGAGTCTCCACAGTACCTTTGAGCTCCCACCTGGCTCTGATGCAGCCCCTGCTGGGAGGTGGCTGGCAAGTCTGAGAGATGCCCTCACCAGGCAGCCTCTGAGAAGGCCTCAGCTGAGCTTGCCTGGAAGCCCCACACTGGACTTTTCAATGCTTATCTCAAAATCCACATCTGAGAAGTGGAATTCAGCATCAGCAACTCTCCCTCTGGTCAATAATAGTAAGAAAGTACATTGCCATTTTGATTAAGGTAAGCATTTTGGATTTTTAAAAAATCTCAGCAACCAGGATCCCTGCAAAGCATTTAGACATTGGGTGTTGTTAGATAGTAAAGTGCATGCAGAAATGTATATATGAACTCAGAACCCAGTGGTTTCTCTTGATTTTGGAGCCCAAGGAAACCAGCACAAACATGCCCTCAAATTAAGGGAGACCCCAATACACACGCTGCCTTTGCTATCTTCACCTGTGTTCTTGACCACAGGCTATGGCTGCCAGTGGATGAGTGGGCAGTGAGTCGGAGGGAATTGTCTGCTCTCTGACCATCAGCCCACACCCCATGCAGTTCCTGAAAGTGCCACTGCTTCATGCTTCTGTGACCTTCCTCCCTCTGCCTGGAGTGACCACTCCCACATCTGAGTGCACCTTCCAGGGTCTGGCTTCCTTAGATTTTCCTGACTTTTCCCTCCTGTGTGTCCTAGGCACATTCAGACCTCCCTCCTGGCACTGCCACGCTGGCTGGCTCTTCTTTGTTGATCTCTTCAGCTCTAGATCAGCAGTATCCAGTGGAAATACGATTCTAGTCTGTCCAATTTTAAGTGTTTTAGTAGCCACATTACCAAGTTTAAAAGAAATGTAATACATTTTATTTAACCCAATATATCAAAAAATGTAATTTCAACATGTAAACAATATAAAAATTCCTAATGAGCTATTTTACAAGCTCCTCCCTTCCCACTAAGTCTTTGAAATCTGATGTGTCTTATACTTAGAGCACATCTCATTTTGGACTTTAAATTTTCATTGGAAATGCTTGACCTATATCTAGATTTCAGAACATTTATAGTTGAGAAAATTGATTCACATACCCAACATGTCCCAAACATATCTAAAATTTTTTCAATAACTGAATCGAGTATCAGTTTTTAAAATTAAGTTAATTAAGATAAAATGAAATGAAGAAATGAGTTCCTCAGTAGCATTAGCCACATTTCAAGTTCTCAGAACCCATGTATGGCTGGTAACTACTGCATTGAAACACAATTCTAAACCTCAGGTTTCCTGAGGGTAGAGATTCTTTGCATTCTTAGAGTCAAACAGAGCCCAGCACAAAGAGGTACTGAAATGTTTGTTAAATGTCTATGTGGGGAAGTTGGGGTTCCTATGGTCAGGATTCTCACTGAACTTAAACCTCCTGATGATGTAACTGGCCTGTTGCTAGGCTACCGCTTCCACACCTTTAGGCAATAAGCTATTATTGCGCTATATAGAGAGCTCGGCCCAGTGCTCTGGGCAGAGGCAGAGATGCTAGTGCTCGACCTACCGCCAGGAGAACAAGCCGGGTAATAAACCCTTTCACCCCAAAGAACGTTTTGCTGTCAATTTCTTTGGTTACATTGAATCCATAGTGAACTTGCCCGGGGCTGAAACCCATTGGCAAGATAGTCTAGCAGAGTTGGGCTTAAAAAAAGGAAAAGCAAGAATATAACAAGTTTACAAATCACAGGCAGCCTGGAACAGCGTAGCTCAACAGGGCCCTTCTCTGGTATATGCGTCCCTCACCTAAATCCCTTTAAATTTCAAAGAACTCTCCTACCCAACCGCAACCCAGCTCTTGTTTCCACCCTCTCATTTGGCTTTTAAAAACTTCTAGAGCTTAGGTTTTCAGATTCCTGGTGTTGAAAGGTAGAAACCGACCTCACTTTTTCTTCCGTGAAAGAAGAGAGGGGATGTGAACTCAACAGTCCAAGCAGGTTTATTGCTGAACCTGAGAGGGACCCCTCTGTCCTGGCCAGCAGAACAAAGGAGAGGGTCGCTAGCAGGTCAAGAGGCTTTTTATGGCCAGGGCTTTGGCAGGCTCTTTGAGGGGAGGGATCAGGGGAAAGGTGGGCTTGTGGCTTGCTGATGTGTCCTCTGGAGGATGCTTGTAGCCGAGGTAAGATGACACCTAAGTCTCTCTCTGATGGTGGGTGGGCTTCTTTGAAAGGTGGCACTCAGGTCCGGATTCTATCACCCAGATGTTTCTAGTTGCAGGCCTCCCATTTCCCAGGTCTCAGAGCACCTGGCAGGCCAGGTGGGCAGGAGTGGGTGGAACCAGCCTGTTAGCCCTTCACAGTGCTGTCCAGGAAGAGTTCTGTGCTCCATCCACAGCTGAGGCCAGTGGAAACTTCAATCCTGTCCGAGCTGGCCCCTCAGGGACAAGGAGGCATGGAAGACCAGGGGGACACGTCTTCCAGGTCAGGCTCTGCAGAGGGATGCCCAGTGGGTGTTTAGGTCTTTCTCCCAAGCCAGATGGTTCTTCTTGGAAGAGGTGTGGAGAACAGCTATAGCTGGGGAGGGATTGTTGACTCCATCAAAGGCAGTGTGGAAGGAAGTGGTGTGAAGGTTTTAGTATTAGAAAATGAGGTCACAGTAATCCTTTCCAGGTTCTGGGGAAACTATTAGTCCTTGAATCCCCAGCTCACATTATACCAAGACTGTCCTGCCTCAGGGTATCAGGAGACAGAGTTACCAGAGCACACTGGGAAGTTGGAGACAGTCCCAAAATCAAGCTGAGAAGTTTCAACGTCTCCTCTGAGAGGAATAATGAGAGGCTGGCACACCCAGCTTTGCTGATCTGCGTCTCCCATCCACCTACCTGCAGGCTTTGCTGACTCATTCAGCCTCTCTTGCAAGTTGTGCAGGCGTGTTCTGAGCCCCTTTGCTCTGCTCAAGTTTGCAGCCCTTGAGAATCTGAGTCTCCACCTGAAACAGAATACTGAGTCCTCTTCAGGTGTCGAGGGTGGGTGGGGGCAGTGAGAGGAGTTTAGAAAAAAAGCACAGGCTCAGGAGTCAGGGCCAGTCTGCAATCCAGCCTTCCCACTTACTAGCTAAGTGAGCATAAGGAAGTTGGTTAACCCCTGTGTTATTTGAGTTTCCCTTTTCGTTTCAAGGAGGTTGGATGAAAAGCCCAGATTGAGTTCACAGATGCTTCCTTCTTTGTCACTGTTAACCCCAGAGAGCAGAGCTGCCACCAGCTTCCCTGGCTCTCTGGGCCTTCAGTGCTGGCCCTCTGATGAGTTCCAGATCTTGAGTCAGGCTCTTCTCCTTACCCATTTTAGAGCCTGAAGATTTCCTTCCTTTACAAAGCCAGCTGCTCCCTTCATCCCAGAGCCGAACTCATTATGGAGCCCTGGAGAATGCAGGTATCCTTAAAAGCTTAAGCTATCCACTTCTGTCTTGCCAGTGGGTTTCAGCCCCAGGCAAGTTCACCATGGATTCAATGTGACCAAAGAAATTGACAGCAAAACGTTCTTGAGGTGAAAGGGTTGTACCCAACTTTATTTCCAGGTGGCAGGTCAGTCACTAAAATCCCATTCACTCAGAGCGAGTCTGCATGCAGCAAGCTGGTCTCTGCCTCTGGGCCTCTCTGCCTGCACAGCTGTCCCACAGAGCCATCCTCTGGACCTCTCTGCACAGTTGTCCCGCACAGCCATCCTCTGGGTCTCTGTCCTCTGCTCTGCTCTCCTTCAGCCTTGCAGCCATGCCACCATGTCTTGCCCAAAGCACTGGGCGGAGCACTTTATATAGAGTCAACAGCCATGCATAACCCACAGGTGTGCAGTGAGCTAGTCAACCAGGGCCAGGTGAGAATCCTGGCCACAGGCACTCTCATTTTATCCACAATTTCCCTTTAATAAATTTCCCTGCACTTGTAACAGTTGGATGTTCTCTTCTGCTGTCAGGGTCACTGAAGTGAGGTGAGCGGTAGTGACCTTTTCCAGTGAAGACGTCCCTGACTTAGTGATGCTGGGGTTCTTGTTTGCGGACTTGAAGAATGAACTTAGCAAACAGTCAAGGTAGGAGAGCCAGGGAGACTTTTATTGAGAGATACAGTGAGAGGACAGACAGAGCTCCTGGGGTGAGCCAGGAGGGGACAAGAGAGCCCGTGGTGGTGCGTTGTCTAGGGGATTTACAGGCTGTTGCAAGACAAAGAGCTAGGGATGCAGACCCACCAGATGGTCTCTAAATGTTTATTTTTAAAAAGACACTAAGTTTTATCAGTTTTCGGGACTATTTTGCAGAGTTAACATAAGAAATTTACTGCTTTGATCCTTTCTCAGAGTAGTAGTTTCTTGGTTTGGGAGCATATCAGTCAAGGCTACTTGTTTTGCTTTCAAGATGAGCTGAGTTGTTGACTTGATTAGGTCTGGAGGAGGAAAAGCAGCATCTGGGTAAAGTTAGAGATAAACTGGGCTTTTTAGCAGGCTGAAGTAAATTTTACAATAGCTTCATTTAATTGACACAAACAAGACATGGGCTATGCTGAGGTATTTTTTTTATCTGGGGGATGTTCAAACATTCCAGGCCAGGTTATTCCTGGCTTTTTAGTTTTAACTAATCTTCACTGAAGAATGCTTATTTATATTTCTAGTTTGATATTTTACCTTAGAGAATTAATGTGACTGACTTTGCTTAATTGTTTAATATGGAGTTTTGGTAGGAGTCTTTTTCCAGAGGCCCTCGCCCCACTCTGACTACACCCATGGTCCCTGTCTCATTAGGAATGGGGGCTGATGCAAATCTGTGGTTGTCTCTTCTTTGAAGAGCTCATCTGGACCTCTAATGTGCTGTATTTAGCTTTGAGGTCGCTCTCCATTGTCTTGCCAGGCAAGTACCAGCCTGGTGTTGGAGGTCCCATAGCCAACTGGGCCCCTCACTGTGTTTGACTGCAGCAGCTGGCCTGGTCCCAATCCCAGACATGTCTGGTGTCCAGGTAAAGGCTAAACCATACCTGTTGGGTCATGTCTTTTCCCCTCCTGCTTACCTAGACTCACCAACTGAACCTGCTGCTTCCAGGAGATTTAAAGAGCCAGTGCCAGGGTTCCCTTACACCCCCCTTCATATTTCATATCTTTTCCTTTTGTAAGCTAGACATTTAAGGCCTAGGTGATTCAAAAGCAACCACTTTTAGAATTTATATGGGGGAATTTAGAAAGGTACCACATAGACCTTCAGCATACACTTCAGACTGATCCCTGGCACAGAGACACAATATAATAATTAACACACACACACACACATACCAGCAAATCCTGGAGAAAAGAGTGATTCTCATTTCCAGAATTACCACATTATAAGATTCACAAGGCATATAAAGAAACAAAGTATGTCCCATTCAAAGGAAAAAAAAGAAAAAGCAATGGAAACCATCCCTGAGATAGACCAGATGGTGGACTTACTAGGCAAAGACTTTAAGCCAACAGTCTTTAAGACGTTCAAATTGCTGAAAGAAGACCTAGACAAAGCCAAGAAAACAACATATGAACAAAGCGGAAAGATCAAAAGAGATAGAGAAAACATAAAAAGGAACCAAAAATAAATTCCAGAGCTGAAAAATACAATAACTGAAATGAAAAATTCACTAGAAGAATTCAAAAGAAGATTCAAGCAGAGAGAAAGAAGAATCAGGAAATTTGAAGATAGGATAGTTGAGATTACCAAATCTAAGCAACAGAAAGAAAAAAGAAGAGACGTGAGCGGAGCCTAAGGAGGTCCACTGAGTGAACCAACATGCACACGGTGGGGATCCCAGAAGGGAAAGAGAGGAAGAAAGGGGCAGGAAGATTTTTTAAGAAATAATGACTGAAAACGTCCGAAGTGTGATGAAGGACAAGAATATAAACATCCGGGAACCTTATCTAACTACAAAGAGGATAAATTCAGACTCACTCCAAGACACATAATCAAACTATTAAAAGACAAAGACAAAAGAAAATCTTAAGAGCATCAAGAAAGAAGCAACTTGTAATTTATAAGAATCATCAGATTTCTCTCAGAAACCTTTGATATTGGAAGGCAGTGGGTTGATACACTTGACAAATCAAAAACTTTTGAGACCAAGAAATCGCTGATACAAAAGGATTATCAAGCCATCAGAAATACTAGCCAGACTGAGTCCTGGGACAGGAAGTTTTTGCTTCACTAGAAGCAAGGCCAGTTAGTATAAACAACTTCTGCACCAGACTCAGGAAACAGGGCACATTTGTGAGGGGTCTCCAGGAAAGAAAGTTCTTTAAATTCACAGTGGCTAGATAAGGAAGGTGGGCTAACAGAAAGTGGGGAAGTCTTCAGAGAGGTGGTTTGTCCATGAGAAGATGTGTGGTTGGTTGTCAGATGACTCAGGGATTGGTCACATGTAAGAGGGATGTAGTGGTTCTAGGGACCTTCTAGATAATTGTTGAAATGACCTCATTCAGGAACATGGGAGTCTTTGGTTGGCTATGATCCACAGCTATTGACTGATGACCCTTCCTTATCTCTCTCCTTAATTCTCCAGCCTTTATATGACTTAATTTTAGGGTATCTCGGAATTTTTCCTTATCTAAAACCTGTCATCCTATTCCTGGCCAAATATTCTTCAAAAAATAGGTAAAAATCAAGAAATTCCCAGATAAATGAAAGCTGAGGGAGTGTATTACCATTAGGCCTGCCTTGCAAGAAATGCTATAAGGAGTCCTTCAGGTTGCAATGAAAGGAAACAGACAGTTACTTAAAACCATATGAAGAAATGAAGACTTCTGGTAAAGAAAAATCCATGGACAATGATGTAAGCTAGTACTATTATAACTTTGGTTTGTAACTCTCTTTGTTTTCTACATAATTTAAGAGACTAGTTCATTAAAAGAACAATTTGTATTTGGACACACAAGCGTTAAGTATGTAACCTGTGGTATCAGTAATTAAAGAGGGGACAGATGTATAAGAGCAGAGTGTTTGAATGCTAGAGTGTTATACTTTAGGATGTTAAGTATAATCCCTATAGTAACTACAAAGAAAAAAACTACAGAGTATACACAAATAGAAATGAGAAGGGAAATAAACAGTTTCAGGACAAAAAGAATCACTATATACAAAAGGAGACAGTAATGCAGGAAATGAGGGGTAAACTACAAGGTACATAGAAAAGAAGTAGTGAAATGACAGAACTAAGTTTCTCCTTATCAATACTTTGTTTAAAGTAAATGAATTAAACTCTCTAATCAAAAGACAGAAGAAATTGGCAGAATGTATAAAAAGATATGATTGAACAATATACAGTCTACAAAAGACAGTTTGGATCAAAGACACAAATAGGTTGAAAGTGAAAGGATGGAAAAGGATATTCCATACAAATAAATAGTAAGCGAAAGAGAGCAGGAATGGCTATACTAATCAGACAAAATAAACTTTAAATCAGAAGAGATCATAAGAGACTAAGACAAAGAGGGGAATTATGTATTAGAAAGTGTTCAATAAAGCAAGAAGATATAAAAATTATACATTTATATACCTAATAACAGACTACATATACTATATACATATAATATACATATACAAAATCTGACAGACTTGAAGAGAGAAATGGTTCTACAATAACAGTTGGAGACTTAAATGTTACAGTCTCAATAATGGATAGGACAATCAGAAGGAAGATAAGTAAGGAAACAGAGGACTTGAACAAAAGAAAAAACCAGCTAGATCTCACAGACATATTAGAATACTCAGCCCAACAACAGTATATGTATTCTTCTCAAGTGCACTTGGGACAATCTCCAGGATATGTGAGGCCACAAATTAAGTCTGAAGAATTAAAAAAAAATGGATATTATACCAAATATCTCAACCACAATGGGGTGAAGTTAGAAATAATAACAGAAGAAAGAAATTGGAAAATTTGCAGATTTGTGGAAATCAGACAACATATTTTAAACAAAAATAGGTCAAATAAATCACAAGGGAAATCAGAAAATACTTAGAGATAAATGAAAATGAAAACACAAATTAACAAAATTTATGAGCTCTAGTGAAGCAGTACTAAGAAGGAAATTTAAATGCTTCTTTTAAAACAAGAAGGATCTCAAATCAATAGCTTAACTTAAGGAACTAGAAAAAGAACAAACTAAACCCAAATATAGCTAAAGAAAGCAAATAATACAGATTACAGCAGAGATGAGAAAAAATAGAGAATGGAAAAACAATATAGAAAAATCAATGAAAAGATTAATAAAACTTCTCTGAAAACCTTAATAAAATTGAAAAACTTTGAGCTAAATTGACAAAGAAAAAAGGAGAAGCTGCAAATTATTAAAATCAGAAGTGAAAGATGGGATAGGACTACTGATTTTACAGAATAAAAAGTAATTTTAACAGAATGCTATCCACACCTGTAAGCCAAAAGAGGAAATAGATTAGATGTTCCTAGATACACGAAACTTACGAGCTGAAACATGAAGAAATAGAAATCCACCTATTTCTTATTCTGAACTTCATACCATTCTAAATTCTTGACCCTTAGTTTGTTTTTCTTTATTCTGAAGTATTAAGGACATTTTTTTCTGAATTTTACTATTGCAGAATTTGATACTGTGATTTTTTTCTTCCTCTCAGATTAAAAAATATCCTTTATATCCTGGATCTCTGAAGTTTATTCAGACAATATGATAAACTAAACAAATTACCATGAGTAGGACACATTTTAATTCTACTGTTGGTTTTCATTTGTCATAGGCAGCTTTGCATTCTGAGGCCACTTTACATAGAATTTTTGTGAATTAACCTCGCAAGTTCAGCATGTGAGCAGGGGAGCTGGAAGGTATGGCGAGCAGTCCGGAAGCAAGACTAGAGGTCGGGACTGGGACTCGATATGTGACACAGTGTGTATTGCTGTCCCGCACAGGCCTCTGTAAAAGACAAAAACTTGTCAACACTTTAAACTAGAGAGAGAGAACACGTGAATCCAGAAGATCTGGCAACACTGGGACTGAATTTCTGCAGTCACTGCCCTCAGACCACTTGCTCGGGTCCCGAATCCCTGAGGCTCCTGGTGCCTTTCCCGGTCCCACTGCGGCCACTGGTATGATCCTCTGGGCCCTCCGGGACTGTGTTTGACATCCTGTGAGGCCACCCTCCTCCTCCTCCTGAGACTCGTCCACTTCCCGCTGCAGGGAGCCACTGTGCTCTGGGACGGTCTCCTGTCCCCTCAGTGTCCCTGTCCTCCCAGACACTGCCTCTTTCTTCTGCACCCAGCTGTCTCCCTACAGCTGCCCCTCAGTGGAGCACACTGACACTGTCCCATATTTTAGCAGAGCATTCCCTTGCAGTGCCCCGCTGAGTCCGTCATTAATAGCCAGGTTTGTCCTAATCACTGTGCTCACTGCATCGCAGGATCTCGGTGATTGTTTTTCCAGTAAAGGAAAGACTGGATGGATGAACACAAATGGAACAATATCAGTTCTACTTACTTTCATTGTTCTTCTTTCCAGTGTCAGCTTAACAAAATCATTTTGTCAGGGGAATCTAGTATTTTTTCTGTTCTAAGCCCAAGATGTATAAACTAAGAATGACAACTCCTCAATGTGTTAGCAAAATATAAGTATGAAGTGGGCAGCATCCTTCTGGGCAACTGGAACCCCCCGACCCCAGAGGCTGCAAGAGGAGCCTGCACCCAACAGGAGAGCCTGGGCGGCTGGCAAGGTGTGAGCGGCCGGGGAGCGTGTGCAACAAGGACTGAGTCTGCTAGCTCGGGTGGCACACTGTCCCTGCTCCCCAGCTTAGCAGGAAGTGCAGACGTCTGACTCGGATGATATCATGGGCATTGGGAAAGGTCTCTGTGTCCTCTTCTACCCCCGTTGCCCAAAACCTTTATTGGATACTGGATTCATACCTTGCTATCCTAGCAAAGTGTTACCTAATTTTAAACTTATTTTTCTGTAGTGCACCAAATTCACCCTTCAACTTGTAACCCATTTTTAAAAAAACTTCCACTCACATGTTTTGAAATATCCACTGAACCTTGTAATATCGTTTAAACAAAGACACCTGAGTCACAGTCTCATACAAGATACCACACACAGGTTAGGAGCTGGCATCAGGGCTGGAATCTGAGGGCCTAGGCAGCTGAGGGTCTTCAGGGCCCACCCTGACTGTGGTCCCATGGGGTCCTCCACGTCCTGGTGGCCAGGATCTTCAGGCCACCATCCTCACTCCACAGTCTGCAGCAGGATAGGTGCCGGGCACCCCCAGGGCAGCTCTTCCCCCTCGCTCACATTCCCTCTGACCACCACGCTCTGGTCACTCTCTTGTTCAGTGTGAGGGACATCTCACTGGTGGCAGGACAGCTCTAGGGCTGCACCTCCACGTCCTGCCTCTTTGCTGGGTCTGACTCTGGATTTAGATTCACAGCTCAGGGCTTAGTTCTAACTGATTAATTTACATTTGACTGTGATCGTTCCTAGCCACAGCACAGAGGGCTGCGTCCTCCACAGTCCTTAAAAGATCTCGGAGACCACGTTTCCTATTTCTGTCCTTGTGCTGGATGGGAGTTCCCATCCCTCTGCTCGTCTGTTCTCGAAGACGTGTGGCTGTCAGGATGGGGAGGCCTGGCGGAAGTTGCAGAAAGACCAGAGTTCTGGTGTTGCCAGGACAGGTGCGGCTTCAGACTCTGCATTTGAGGGGCACCTTTGTCCTTAACTTGGCAGCCAGAGCCTCCCAGAGCCTGCGGAACTCAGAACTCGGTGCCCAGGGGCGAAGCTGAGGGGTGGCTGGCGGGAGGAGAAGGGAAAGGTCATTGCTCTTTTTATGACCCAGGCTAGTGTCCCAAGTGCACTGCCAAATTCCCTCTGACTAGCAGAGGTTCAAATGCGGGCGGGGAGCGCAGAGCCAGCTGCGTAGACTAGCGAGCCGAGCCCAGGGCAGCTCTGCTCCCAGGTCTGGCCTATAGAACCTTGTGAGTAGCGGCGTAAATGGGTCTCATATCTGCCCTCCCTCAGTGGGTACACAGGGGTATCCCTTCGCTTTAAAAGCTGGAGGGCGGGGACGAGAGGGTGACGCGTGCTGCAGGCCCCGCCCTTTCCGGGATCGGAGAATAAATTCTAAACACAGCTTCTGTAAACCAACGAGATCAAAGAACCAGCACCATGGCCATGACCTTGGGTTACTGGGATATCCGCGGAGTGAGCGAGGGGTCCGCCTGGCCGAGGGGATGGGGGCGCGGCGGTGGGAGGAGGGGAGGAAATGCTGTGCAGCTGCGATCTGGTTCCCCCAAAAGGTTCCCCTCCGGGCTTGTGGAGTTCAGCCCCCGCCCCCGCCTCGCCTTCCAAGGTGGGCATGTGTGTGGCTGGTGGGGGCTGCTGGGGAGTGTGGGTGCTTACCTGGAGCAGAGAAAGGCAGGCAGGCTGACTTTTCGCCCCTGACTCTGCCGTGGCTTCTCGCAGCTGGCTCACTCCATCCGCCTGCTCCTGGAGTACACAGACTCAAACTATGAGGAGAAGAAGTACACGATGGGGGACGGTAATGGCATCCTTGTCGTGTTCCCAATCTGCCCAGCACTGGCTGATGTAGAACTAAGTAACCCGACCCCTCCCCTCCCATTGCTCACCGCTGCAGTCCCGCTGCGGCGGGAGCGCAGCCACCTGGCCCCCCTCTAACCCTGGGAGGCTGCCGCTGGCCTTCCAAGGCAGGACAGGAGAGGGCGTTCCTGGGCCCCGTGAGTCAGAAATTGGGGTGGGTTCCCCTTAGGGCTCGCCTGAACTTTTGTGAGCCTTATGCATGTAGGTTCCAGAGCCCTGTAAGCTTTCTTCCCCCCCCCCATGTCTGGAATGTGAGACATAGTGGTTCAGATTGCAGATCCACGTGTTCACGGGGTCTTGCCACCCACCCCTTTGTTAGGTTCCCCGGGGAAGGAGGGTTGGACTCTGGGAGGTTTGTTTCACTCCGTCTTCTCCACCATAGCTCCTGACTATGACAGAAGCCAGTGGCTGAATGAAAAATTCACGCTGGGCCTGGACTTCCCCAATGTAGGTGCAGGGGCTTGGGGTGATGTGGGGAGTGAGGGGAGTCTACTCCAGCTCCTTCCTCTGCTCACTGGTTTCAGGATCTGGTGCTTTGTGCTCAGCCTCTCAGCTTCCAGGCTGTCTTCACTGGCTTCCTGGAAGCTCTGTGCTCCAGCTCACTTAAGCTATTTTACAATGGAATGTAATGTTTACCATGAGCCAGGAAGTGTGGTGCCAGTTTCCACCTCTGTCCTTGCTGAAAGAGGGGGACTCAGGGGAGCCTGGTGCTGACCGCCCTGCCCCTGTTGCCCTTCCAGCTGCCTTACTTAATTGACGGGGCTCACAAGATCACCCAGAGCAACGCCATCCTGCGCTACATTGCTCGCAAGCACAACCTTTGTAAGTGGGGCTGGGGGTGGGGGTGGGAGAGCAGGTGACCAATGCTTCCAGCTTGGCTGGGGTGGGCGAATCACTGTTGTGTGGACTGTAGGTGGGGAAACAGAAGAGGAGAAAATTCGCATGGACATTTTGGAGAACCAGGTTATGGACACCCGCCTGCACCAGGCCAGGGTCTGTTACAGCCCTGACTTTGTGAGTTCCCTCCCACTGGTGTGGGATTTACTGGGTTTTACAGAAGGGGACTCTTATGTCTGCCCCACTCTGGTCTGTTTGCCATTTGACTTCTTCAGAGCTAGTAATCCTGCAAGCCAGTAACTATACTGTCAGGAGAGTGACCCTCAAAACCCTCCTGCATTAAATGACAACTCTAACTCAGTTCCCACCAATCTTAGGATGGAGTCAGGTCCCCAGGGTGACAGTTCAGATCCTAGACAGTGTGTTCACCTTGTTAGTCCAACACCCTCTCTTCAGCACCCACAGGCATCAGCACATTGACCCAGCAGCCAGTGCTAGGTCAGCCACAGGGCCTTGGTGCATGTCCCTCTTCCTTTCAGCCTCTCAGTTCTCCTCCTCTGTCAGGAAACTAGGCAAGGGTCCACTCCTCTCTCACTCACCAACTTGAGCTTGTGACTTCCTTCCCTCACTCATTTTTGTCTTGACTTCTGTCTGATGAAATGAGTCCTGCACTCTGCCAGGTTCCCATAGCCCTTCTGGGTCTGCTACTTGCAGGATGTTTGGAGATGGGTGGTGACAGCCTCAGGGACAGTGTGGCATTGCTCTCCGCCTTCCCATTGCCTCTCACAGATGGGAGGTGGTGGCCAGTAGGCGCCTCCTGAGCACAGGTGGATTAAATGGTAGCCTGCATACAGACCCAGCCTAAGTGGGAGAACATGGCTACTTGCCCCGGGCAGCTGGGGGTCAGGCAGTGCCCTGAGGAGGGCTGCCTCTTGCCTGGTTGTCCCTGGTGAAAGTGTTGACAGTTGTTTGGTGCCTCAGGAGAAACTGAAGCTTGAATACTTGAAAGAGATCCCTGAAAAAATGAAGCTCTACTCACAGTTTCTGGGGAAGAGGCCTTGGTTTGCAGGGAACAAGGTAAGGCAAAAGGATTTGGGGAACAGAGAATTGTACGTTTAATGAGGTTAGGACTTCGGTGCCCACACATTAACTGCCTTTCTGCAGCTCACCTATGTGGATTTCCTGGCTTATGACATCCTTGAAATGCACCGCATATTTGAGCCTAGGTGCCTGGATGCTTTCCCAAACCTGAAAGACTTCATAGCCCGCATTGAGGTGAGTCCCCTCATCCTCCTTACTATTTATATTCCTTTGTTCCATCTTCCTGATGCTTTCCTTGTCCTGGAGCTAAATTGTAGAATAACCAGCATTTATTGAGGACTTGCTTTATGCCAGAGTGTGTGTTCGCATGTTACATATAGGGCATGATTTGCTCCTTACAACAGTCCTACAAGATAGGAGAGTTACCACCTCTAGGTTGCAGATGAGGGAAGTAAGGCAGTAATTGATAAGTAATGATAAGTAATTTGCTCAAGGTCACTGAGCCAGTGCAGGCTGTGCTGGCCGTCAGCTTCTGGTTGCTAAGCGCAGCAGTTAGCAGCTCTCCCTTTCCTGTACTAAGAGGGAAATCTCAGGTCCTAGTCCCTCTCCAGCCAGACTCTCAGAGCCGTAGGCCGTGGGTTGAAGGAGAAGGTTCAGGAGTTTGTATAGGTAGCATTAGGGGAGTTGAGACCCAGTAGGATTTGTATTAAATATGAAGAAACAGACAATATTTACTCTTCATATCTGGACAGCTTTGCAGCAATCAGATGCCCATCTGGGGGTAGCCCTGGATTCTCAGGGACTTAGCTGGCAGTGGGATGTGAGTACCTATGTGGGGGCCCCTGCGGAATGAGTTGACATGATAGCTTCACCACCTTCCTTCCCTGCCTCTCTCCCTTTCTTTCTTCCTGCCAATGGCCCAAGGTTCTGTTGGGAATGGGCTGGTACATTTATTTTAATGCATTTTCACTGATAACTGCATGAGGCACTGTGTCTGGCACAGTGGGGCTGCAGAGGTGACCTAGCCTGGGCCCCCTCCTCCTGGGGCTCATGCAGTGGGAAAACCACAGAAACACACGGTCCCAGCTGGGTGTTGGAGGAGCATAGCTTGGGCCTTACCTCCCAGCTCTTCATCCGCCTGCCTTAGTCAACTCACTGGAGAGCAATGCAGTCCAGGCTGTTACAGACTCAGGAGTTGGAGGCATTCGTCCAGCAGGGTGCGCAGCCTGCAGTCTCTTCTCCATTCCCACTCCCCATTGAGAGGTCTGCTTTCTCAGCCCCTTCTCAGCACCTCTGGTTCTGGCCCTGGCTGGCCGGCCCTGGGACTGTGCAGGGACCTGGGACACTGCCTGGAAGGGAGGGCTGGAGGACGCTGAGGCTGCGCTGTGCAGCCCCTTGGGTCTGGCAGTCCCAGGATCTTTGAATCCTCTGGAGGGCTCAGGCACTGTCTATCTTGGGAAGCTGGTGCTCTAACACACCTGGGTATCATGTGCAGCAGGACTGGGCATGAGGAAGGTTGGGGCCCAGGAGACTGGGCTCAGGTACCAGGCCAAGCAGTGGACTTTCTCCCTTAAGAGGAAGAATTAAAGTGTGGCCTGGCCTGGCTTTCCTGCTCCACAACCTCCTCTCAGCTTTCATCCAAGTTTTGCTGAGTCACTGAGTGAGGGCTGGGCTGTCCTGCAAGCTGCATAGGCCCATTCTGAGTCCCTGAGGTCAGCGAGGGGTCCCTGTGTGGGCCACCCTGGGAGGCAGGCTCCTCCCTGTGGAAAGGGGAATGTGTGTGCAGACTGGGAGGAACAAGGCCTCCTGTGGGTGAGGTGGGGAGGGAGCCCAGCAGAGAGCACAGGCTGGAGAGAGAGATGGGCTGCATTCCTGCTGTTCCCCTGCTAAAGCCCTTGGTGCCTCAGTTTTCCTTCTGACAAATGGTGTCAGTAGAACCTCTCTTGTAGCCTGGTTGCTGGAGGTTTTGAACTTATAATCTCATGTGGATCTAAGCACCTGGCACAGTGTAGAGTCTCCACACATGGAGACTCTTAATAAGACATCACACGGGTTACAAGAAATTGGAAAGCTAAGTTATGAGAGCTGGGGACCCCAGGAAGACTGATGCCCCAGGACGTGACCCCCCGAGGAAGGGCTGTAGTGGGGTCCCCTCTGAGGAGGGGCTGCTTGAACCCCTGTGAGGTGGCAGTCCCTGAGAATGGCCTTGTTTTTCCCATACTCAGGGCCTGAAGAAGATCTCTGCTTATATGAAGTCCAGCCGCTTCCTCCATGCCCCAGTGTACTCAAAACTTGCCCTGTGGGGCAATAAGTAGGGCCAGGAAATCTAACTGAGATGGCATGGAGGAGCCTGTGGTGACCTGCTCTGCTCGAAATCTGAGACAGGACCTCCATGTATCCCAGGAGCTGCTGTCTCCATTCTTCTTTTCTTTCCCTTTATCTCCACATAGTCCTTATTTGACTCCTTTCCCTCCCCCAGCTCCATCCACCTAGCCCCTTAGACCTCTACAACTCCCTCTATTCTCAGCAAAGTCTTCCCCTGACCTTGTCCATCTTGTGCTGACACCTACCAGACCTTCTTCCCTTCAGGGACTGCCTCTGCTTTGAGGAGCCTGACTGGACCTTGGTCTGTAGAGCTCAGCACTGAGCCCCCAGCACAGCCCTGAAGCCCAGTATAGGCCTTGTGTACAGGTCCTATCCCACCAGCGTGCTCCCTTCCCAGCCTCCTGATCCCAAATAAAGGCTTATCACCCCTGCTGTGTCTTGTCTTAATCCCTCCTGGTCACCTGTACTTTCAAAGTGGCCCTGTTCCCAGGGTCTGACTGGTGATGCTGGCAGTGGCTGGGTGCATGGGGATCCTGTGTGGTGGGGTTAATGAGGCTGCTCGAGACTGTTTCTGACACCCTTAGCACAGACACTGCATTGGGCTGTCTGCAGATGGAGGCCTCTTTCTACGCCTGGATCTGCATTCATTCATCCTGCATGATTGAGGGCTCATAGCTCTGTAAAGTCATGTGTCTGTGTAGGTAGGGCCCAGAGGTGGTGGAATCC